TTCGTCTCCCTTCACAAGTGCACTCGAATTAGAGATATGCGGGTGTATGGATATAGAAATTTTTTTTTTTGCCAGGAACCAAGCTATTGTCCGAAGACAAATCTCTTCTTGATGGCATGGTTGTTTTTTCCTGGGTATATATATCCCATACTTCCCATATGTCTATATGGAAAGCCCAATCCTATCCTAAATCCTCTCCCATTTTTTCCTGGGAAATCCCATCCTCTCCCAATCCTCTCCCATTTTTGCCACTAAGAAGATTTGTCTTTGGACCACATCAAAGAAATACGCTCCCTTCGTGGTGTGTTCCCAGCAAACCGAGGTGAAAAAGAGCTTCGGTATTGGGTCTACAAGGTTGTACGAGCTATGGCTAGAACCTGCTGCAGAATCTTCGACCTTATTGCCTGCCGGCGTGATAGCTCCAAATCTGACGTCGCCCTCAAGCACAGCCGTATTGCCTGCTGCAGAACCGTCGATCATCTTGCCCACTAGCGAGGCAGATCCAAATCCGACAGTCTAGGACTTCTACGATCATCTGAGGAAGATTGAGGCTCGTGTTGAGCAAAATACGACTATGTTGTCGGCTCGTGTGGAGCAAACCGCGACAATGTTGTCTGCTCGTGTGGAGCAAACAACGAATTTGTTGGTCGACATTTGTCTAGGCTGGACAAGGACGATGACGAAGAACACCAGTAGGAAATAGAAAGCGTCAAGGAGGAACAAAAAGAGACCCATTTGGATATTAAGAAGGTACCCGCTCAGTCTCTGGGAGCATCAACTCGACTTCTGGATCGTCTTTCCTGTTCGATATGGGCGAGTGGCAGATTTTGCCAAGCCTGCACAGAAACGGTCCACCCACCAACCGTAGATTTTTTTATTCCGCCGGCATCTCGAACCTTTTCTCATATCTTGTAGCCGTAGACCCGAATCGTTTCTCCAGTGGGCGAATTGAGTAGCAGCAACAGTCGGTTCTTCCCTTCGTATTTCGCTACGGCAAACTTTTTGCACGTACACATTCCTTCTGGAACCTCTGCGGCTTTCCGGTGTTCGTTGCACGGAGGGGCTGCCACTTCCAAATCCTTGGATCCTCCGTAGTTGGCCAAGGGGGGTATGCCAAATATTGGTCCGTCCCCTTGGCGACTCTGCTTTTCCCTATAGCTGCCGCAAGATACAGGAATCTTTCTCGCATGGACAATTGTCTGCCAATTTGCCGAGGTGTTGGTATCGCAGGCACCAGAAGAGGCAGTTGTTGTCGTACAGGTTCTCTATATTCGAGAGACAGAAGGGGATCACAATTTCTTCAAGAACCTCGAGTGGGAGTCGCTCCTGCAGTGTGTACACTATCGCTTTGTTTTTCCAGAGAATGCATACTTGATGCCGACGCAGTGGTCGATGGCGTCACACTCGCATGTAGAGTTGTCTGGTCCGAAGAGAGTGGGGAGTTCCGATGTAGTGGCGAGGCAGTCAGTGCATCGGTTGTGTCTGTCCTTGGGTTCTGGGCAGTAGCCATCAGCGAAAACGATTCGGGAGTTTGCCTGTTGCGGGTCGAAATTGGTTGGGTGGGTAGATGTAGACGAAATTGACTATTTTGCCGTCTTCTACGAATTGACGAACGCACAGCAAATATAGTTCGAGAAACTAGCGAGGGATCTGGTATTGCTCGTAGAAGGTGTGTCCCGATTTCTCCAGGATTTGCTTCTCTTGGTCGGAAAGCAACACGTGGGGACACTTCTCCAGCAGGGTCTGGAAGACTTCTGCCATATCGGAAGTTGTTGTCTGTGGCCCGTAGTCTATATCACCTCAGATTCGTGTATATCTGGCTTGCGATATGTGGTACTTTTTTTCGCTTCCTGAAGGGACAAACGATCTGATCGGATCTTTGCATAAGCTTCGCTCGATAGCTTGGTTCCTGGCATATTTTTTTTTCTATATCCATACACCTGCATATCTCTAGTTCAAGTGCACGAAAAGTGGTCCGATATAGTTTTGTGAAAAACACTAATTTGTTTGTGGCTGTGGAAACCGATTTGGCTAGTATGGAGCTCCAAGGCATGGTGTACCCATGCGGTCCCGTTCCACTATTCCCTATAATACTATAGTTCATTAGCAGCGCAACAACTGCATTAATCCTCCAGACAGCGGATTAGGCAAGACAACATTTTTCATATTGATTTCGAAGTTGGATAATCAAGCAAAGTAAAAAACATGGATACACAACTTCATTAACTGTAATTGATCCTGACTGTAAGCAAGGTTTTCTTAAGCCTTAAAGCTGTCTGCCGAACAAGTGACAGTTTGTTCATAAACCGAAACAACTACATTATTCCATGTGACGTATGATTTATTTGTTATTGAACTACCTCAGTATGTATATTCACACATTATTCCAATAAAGTGAGTGAGTGTATGGTTTCACGCCGCTTTTAGCAATATTCCAGCAACATCACTGCTCCTGACACCAGAAATGGGCTTCCGAATCCAACGGAGATAAGAAAATATCAGCTGTGAACAGCGTGTGTTCAGTGACATACGTATCTTTGATCACTGTATACTAACCACAGTTCGGTGATGGAACTAATTCTTACAATGGGCAAACTATATGGTACGAACGAATACGAAAATATTCACCGCAGCATCTTCATGGTTCTTTAATGATGCACTTGGGCAATCTAGACGTACAACGAGTTATGCGTGATAAACCGGCGTATTGGACCAGACTGACAGTTTCCAATGACAACAAAGCGTTCTAAATCAATATGATAAATGTTGTCTTGCCTAATCCGCTGTCTGGAGGATTAATGCAGTTGTTGCGCTGCTAATGAACTATAGTATTATAGGGAATAGTGGAACGGGACCGCATGGGTACTAGCCACAATCTAAGTATAACATGCTTTGTATTGGTTTCTTTACAAAATTCTATGATTAATTCAGTGATAAATATTTAACAAATATCGTATAGCTCTCCCGGTGATTATTCCATAGGATTATAGATTACATATCACCAAACGTGGGAATCCGCACCATCAACTCCAAAGAAGTTGATCATCCATGAAGACTTGTCTTTCCAATTATATGCAACTTCTAGAATGCCTCTCAAATAGCCTCCAGATGTCTGCTAATAGGTTTACTGAGAGTTTTATGTTTGTAACTCTGATCTAATCCATATTACGTCTTTTACACATTAATCGTTCACTAATAAGGTTGATGTTCACTGTTTCGAGTAAAACAAACATAATGTTGTGTTGCTTCTGTCCACAGATAAGTTTAGCCTTGAATGTTGTCACAGCGCTTTCAGCACTGCTCCAACGATGTCACTCTAGGAACATCATGTGTGGAATTAAACCCGGATTTCAGCTGAGAAGCAATAATTTATTGCATTCATTGACTAGAAAAACCCACCAAATACGCTGCTCAATACACAACAGAATAATCTACAGTATAAAGTGCTGACTACACAACAGAATAATCTACAGTATAAAGTGCTGACTACACAACAGAATAATCTACAGTATAAAGTGCTGACTACACAACAGAATAATCTACAGTATAAAGTGCTGACTACACAACAGAATAATCTACAGTATAAAGTGCTGACTACACAACAGAATAATCTATACTGCATACAGTGCTGACTACACAACAGAATAATCTACAGTATAAAGTGCTGACTACACAACAGAATAATCTATGCTGCATATACTGCAATACAAATTACAGGTAAAATATACTGCTAAATACACATAAGAATAATCCGCTGAATAAGCTGCTAAATACACAACATAATAAAATACAGAATAAACTGCTGAATAAAGAGCTAGAAAATACAAAAGAATAAACTACTGGATAAACTGCTAAACAAACAACAGGATAAACTGCTAAATACACAACATTATAAACCAAATTTCAAACTGCTGAATAAAGTATAGAACCGCTAATGAAATACAAAATAAAAATCGTGCGAAACAAAATACATTTGGAATATACTGCTAAATAGACTGCTGAATAAGTTGTTAAATAAACAACAATATAAACTACAGGATAAACCGCTGAACAAGCTGCTTAATAAACAACACCATTAACAACAGGATAAACTACTGGATATGGTGGTAAATACACAAAATAATAAAATACAGCATAAACTGCTGAATAAACAACAGAATAAACTACAGAATAAAATGCAAAATAAATATACTGCAAAACAAAAAGATGAAATGTACTGCAAAATAAACAATACATTGAACTACTGAATTGAAATGTGTAAGACATACAAAACTGATATTTTAGGATTGTCATTATTTCGAGAACACCTGGTTTCATGACTACTTCATAGCGATTCATGAACACATGCTCTGGCATCGTATCGCATGGTGACAATCACTGGATTGTCGGGTCCAGACTCGATTTGTTTACAAACAACATCATACAGCTGTAATACTGCTGAAACAAATACCTGCTCATGATATGGTCACAATTGTACAATCGAATCGGCTTTTAGCACAGACTTCTTAATGTGGAAAGGGTTTTGCCGCTTCTACCTACCATTAGACCAAATCTACTGTAGCTTCTATTCAACCTCTATTTCTCATTTAGAAACGTTCCCTGTCAACTAAATATATCGTAACTTTAATTAAATTGATAATATTATATTTTACCACCAAGTACGTCACCATGTAGTTTAAGTACGAAATGATCTAAAGGATGGACAGCAACTAATTTTATCATTCCGGTTTCATGACAGGAAGTTTGGACAAACCGCTGTAATTAATGAGACAATTACAGAGACCGTGTTGGGTGTTGGATCGCAATTTGGCAATATTATGATACGTAAGTGCTTGGAGCGGGAACCGCGTTGCCGGAACAGATCAGCTCGCTCATAGTTCTGAAGAAACGAATGCTCGAACTTGGGAATCAGCGGATCCAGGTATGGCTAATGAAATAAACTGTAAAACTAAAGGCAGTGAACAGTCACAGGCCAACCCAAGTTTTGAATATCCACTTACCAGTGGCCAGTCGGACTTATCAGCATACACGATGTTGTCGATGGCGATGACGTCGTTGGGAGCACCGGTGCCGTCCTCTGTGTTGAGGAAACATTCAAAATTCTCCGAGTGAAAGTTGAAGGATTTACAATGGGTTGACCGCAAACACTCTGAGGCACATTGAAGAAGGTTCGAGGGTTGTAGACGCCGGTATCCATGGTTACGTAAACTGGTGTGGTTCTGAACAAGGGCGGGTATATTGAGACAAACAGGGTACACGCGCAGTACAGGAGACAACAGCACACAGGCGACCACCAATAGATCCATTTTCCTGCAACTGGCTGACGGCACACTCTCAGAGAGATGGTATTTGAAACATTTGCATCGATTACTGTGTTGTAATGACGTGCATGAGCTATTCATGCTGTAGGGACAACCGACCTTTGAATGACGGGTCAGGCTTGTCGTACCCACCTAACTCTAAGGAGACAAGTGAGACAGCCTCAACGGTTTCATATTCAAATTGATGCAAATAGATTCAGAGTCACACAAAACTCTCTACAAGGCTGTAAAACAAAAGGGATGATTTCAACTTTCCAATGGTCATCTTTCCCTTCATGTCAAGCAATATTCCAACAGATCCAGCCTTTTGTGTTTACATGTCACAACTTTTGAGATACAATCGAGCGTGCTCTTTTTATACCGATTTCAAAGAGCGACCAGTTAGGCTGTGGTACCAGTGCCTGTCTGTATTGCTACTGCGGTACTCGTGACACACCAGACTCACGGGGGGAGGAGTGACTGTGAGCTTCCAGTCGGATCCAGGGAACATATTCCCCGATGACAAACGCAACATAGCACTGAAAATGTACGGAGTCAAAAAAGAAACTTCACAAAATGTAATTTGAAAAATAATGAAGAATTTTTCTCTGATGATACATCTATGTATCCGAAATGGGATCGATCCCTATCTTTCGGCTCTAGAAAAACGTTAGCAAAACGCACTCAAACCCATCCATTCGTTGCAATTGATCATAACCACCATCGACCAGAACCAGAGAACCAGTGACGGTGAAACAGTGTAAGTATATGCTACTAAGAGAGACTACTTATCAAACAAACTTATATATTCATACATGTATATGGCAGGGGAATTTCTTTTCTCCCTGTTACAGAAATAGAGGGTACCAGGTTTTTGCCATGAAATGTATTATACATTGACCAATGTTGCTAACATATTACCTTACGTTTATTATTATTACATTGTAGATACTCTGGTGTGTTCAGTAAAAGAACCCAGCGCTGGAGACCAATGACTGCTAAAGTCGAGAAGATCTACTCATACAGATGGGACCTACAGATGCTGGCCTTCCAGCAAAGACAAAATGAGCAGACTGGAGGCCTGAAAAGGAAAACACCAATGGCCGATGACGATCCCAGGCGTATGTCGTCAACAATTGCAAAGAGACCCTGTCCCCCAATGGCAGAACTTGTAAATCGGTGTCTGACGCGATTCAAGAAGTGAAAGAGTTTAGACTGCACTCAGTTCCACACCCAGATAGATATTTAAACTATTGTCTTTTGACCATCTTCCTTACATATTGTAATTATGATAACGATTGTCCATATATTGGCTCTAAATCCCAGCAATCATTTGTTGTTTCCTATGTGTTGAGTCCTATTGTGGAATGTACACTCTAAATATATATATCATTACCGGTATAACTGTGTATTCTTATGTATTTATCATCGTCACATATACTGAGCCAAAAAAGAAACTTCACAAAATGTAATTTGAAAAATAATGAATAATTTTTCTCTGATGATACATCTATGTATCCGAAACGGGATCCCTATCTTCGACTCTAGAAAAACGTTAGCAAAACCCACTCAAACCCATCCATTCGTCGTGCAAATGACGTTAGTGCCAAATCAGCTAGGTTTTGCACGTGCAGTCGATCACGTGATCTTCGCATCGAAGTTTTCTTCATATGCACGTGTTTGCATTGGCCTCATCAATTGAAACAACACTTTTAAACCACAGTTCTAACGGTACTTGAAATGCCACGATTGTCAAATGTGCAACGTGAACGTGCCGTTGGCATGTTGCAAGCGGGAAGATCAGTTATTGACGTCGCAAGAGCAATGGGATGCAGCCGTCGTACTAGGTATGACTTGCGAGGTCGCCTACAACAAACTGGCACCACTTCTGATCGCCCAAGGTCGGGTCGTCCACGTGTGACGTTACGAGCAGAAGACCGTCAAATCGTCCTACGTCACCTATGTGACAGATTTCTGCCGGCTACACGAACCAGGGCTGAGATGTTTAGAGGTCGACTGTCCTCACAGACCATTCGAAATCGGTTGCAGGCTTCCAATCTCCATTCTCGACGTCCATATTGTGACTTGACATTCTGTATACCCATGTTTTGGAACGGCGGTGTAGCCTAATGGAACTGATTATGGCACTGTCAGTGTATCGTGTACATCACACAGATCTCAGCAATGAAATAATACCAATTTAACCATCTTACCATATCTTGTTACTTTATAGTGCCCTGAGGAAAGAATGAAGTTTCTTTTTTGACTCAGTATATATGAATGGATCACCAAGAGAGATGACAGCGCTTTTGTTCTGTTCATATTGTAATTCGTCTTTCCTCATTGTGCCACTATAATCAATTATCTGTGAATATTTATATTCCTTTTCTTGCCAATATAATTCTTACTTGTACTGTTAAATATGTTGTGTTTCTTTAGTGTCAGAATATGATGAAATATATTGTGTTTTCCTTGTGTGCCAGTATGATTAATATTGTAAATACAGTGAAATATATTGTGTTTCCCTTGTGTGCCAGTATCATTAATATTGTACATACAGTGAAATACATTCTGTTTCCCTTGTGTGCCAGTATGATTAATATTGTAAATACAGTGAAATATATTATGTTTCCCTTGTGTGCCAGTATGATTGATATTGTAAATACAGTGAAATATATTGTGTTTCCCTTGTGTGCCAGTATGATTGATATTGTAAATACAGTGAAAATATGATTGATATTGCCTTATTGTGCCAGTATGATTGATATTGTAAATACAGTGAAATATATTGTGTTTCCCTTGTGTGCCAGTATGATTGATATTGTAAATACAGTGTAAATATATTGTGTTTCCCTTGTGTGCCAGCATCATTAATATTGTAAATACAGTGAAATATTCCTTTGTGTGCCAGTATGATTAATATTGTATATGCAGTGAAATATATTATGTTTCCTTGTGTGCCAGTATGATTTATATATATACAGTGAAATATATTGTGTTTCCCTTGTGTGCCAGTATGATTTATATTGTATATACAGTGAAATATATTGTGTTTCCCTTGTGTGCCAGCATCATTAATATTGTAAATACAGTGAAATATATTGTGTTTCCCTTGTGTGCCAGTATGATTAATATTGTATATGCAGTGAAATATATTATGTTTCCCTTGTGTGCCAGTATGATTTATATTGTATATACAGTGAAATATATTGTGTTTCCCTTGTGTGCCAGTATGATTTATATTGTATATACAGTGAAACATATTGTGTTTCCCTTGTGCGCCAGCATCATTAATATTGTAAATACAGTGAAATATATTGTGTTTCCCTTGTGTGCCAGTATGATTAATATTGTAAATACGGTGAAATATATTGTGTTTCCCTTGTGTGCCAGTATGATTAATATTGTAAATACAGTGAAATATATTGTGTTTCCCTTGTGTGCCAGTATGATTAATATTGTAAATACAGAGCAATGTAAGTTGTTCACTGGTCCCTCGGGGCCCATGGGATGAGGTACCCTCGATGTGCATTCGGGCTCAAGGAACATGAACAAACATCAAGGGTACATCAACCCATGGGCCCCGAGGGACCAGTGAACAACGTATTTATCTTACCGAACACCTCAATTTTTGGTAATTTTGAACTGTTTGAAGAACGGGTATTGGATCATAGTATGGAGTACCAGACGACAAGACGACAAGAAAAACAAACTTAGAGTTATCTCCCTTCCATCAATTTGCATTCGCATAACATCGGTAATTTCTGTACATCATGCGTGATTTATTGTTATTCGAGAGAAAGAATTACTACTACGAAGTACGAAATGAGTTCGGTATTCCCAAAGGGGTACATAGAAAATGTTACTCGCTTAAGCTTGTAAGCAGGTACATTGAAAATAATAGAAGAACACACAGCCAATCAGAAAACAACATTTATGTGTGAGGCAAGATAATATATTGTGCTTCCCTAGCGTGCCAGTATGATTAATATTGTAAATACAGTGAAACATATCGTGTTTCCCGTGTGTGCCAGTATGATTAATATTGTAAATACAGTGAAATATATTGTGTTTCCCTAGAGTGACAGTATGATTAATATTGTAAATACAGTGAAATATATTGTGTTTCCCGTGTGTGCCAGTATGATTAATATTGTAAATACAGTGAAATATATTGTGTTTCCCTAGAGTGACAGTATGATTAATATTGTAAATACAGTGAAATATATTGTGTTTCCCTTGTGTGCCAGTATGATTAATATTGTAAATACAGTGAAATATATTGTGTTTCCCTAGAGTGACAGTGTGATTAATATTGTAAATACAGTGAAATATATTGTGTTTCCCTTGTGTGCCAGTATGATTGATATTGTAAATACAGTGAAATATATTGTGTTTCCCTAGAGTGACAGTATGATTAATATTGTAAATACAGTGAAATATATTGTGTTTCCCTAGAGTGACAGTATGATTAATATTGTAAATACAGTGAAATATATCGTGTTTCCCTTGTGTGACAGTATGATTAATATTGTAAATACAGTGAAACATATCGTGTTTCCCGTGTGTGCCAGTATGATTAATATTGTAAATACAGTGAAATATATTGTGTTTCCCTAGAGTGACAGTATGATTAATATTGTAAATACAGTGAAATATATTGTGTTTCCCTAGAGTGACAGTATGATTAATATTGTAAATACAGTGAAATATATTGTGTTTCCCTAGAGTGACAGTATGATTAATATTGTAAATACAGTGAAATATATTGTGTTTCCCTTGTGTGCCAGTATGATTAATATTGTAAATACAGTGAAATATATTGTGTTTCCCTAGAGTGACAGTATGATTAATATTGTAAATACAGTGAAATATATTGTGTTTCCCTTGTGTGCCAGTATGATTGATATTGTAAATACAGTGAAATATATTGTTTTTCCCTAGAGTGACAGTATGATTAATATTGTAAATACAGTGAAATATATTGTGTTTCCCTAGTGTGCCAGTATGATTAATATTGTAAATACAGCGAAACATATTGTGTTTCCCTAGTGTGCCAGTATGATTAATATTGTAAATACAGTGAAATATATTGTGTTTCCCTTGTGTGCCAGTATGATTAATATTGTAAATACAGTGAAATATATTGTGTTTCCCTAGTGTGCCAGTATGATTAATATTGTAAATACAGTGAAATATATTCTGTTTCCCTAGTGTGCCAGTATGATTAATATTGTAAATACAGTGAAATATATTGTGTTTCCCTAGTGTGCCAGTATGATTAATATTGTAAATACAGCGAAACATATTGTGTTTCCCTAGTGTGCCAGTATGATTAGTATTGTAAATACAGTGAAATGTATTGTGTTTCCCTTGTGTGCCAGTATGATTAATATTGTAAATACAGTGAAATGTATTGTGTTTCCCTAGTGTGCCAGTATGATTAATATTGTAAATACAGTGAAATATATTGTGTTTCCCTAGTGTGCCAGTATGATTAATATTGTAAATA